CCCAGACAAGCCCCCAGATGTTATGGACCCCAGGACTACTGAGGAATGGATTAGAGTGCTGCAGTCCAAGCTAGCTTGAATACAATCTTTTATCTTGATCTGAATTGAATCTGGTAGTCTTTCCTCAGTAGTCCTGGGGTCCATAACACCTGACATCTGGCTCTTACAGTGTTTCCACTCCTTCTTCTGAGATGGTACTTGAACCTTGTAGGGAGGGTCTAGCTGTGCTTTAATAACTTATTTTTCCTTGGCATCTTTCTGGTGTGTGCTGTGGATGGTCCTGGGATTTTGCTCCTGCTATTCACATGCTGTACCACTGAGCTACAGATCAAATTAGCATCTTACATTGTATGGCAAGTTTTTCTCACTCTGAGGGTCAGTGGAGTTTCGTGACTTGGTCTGGGGTCATCTGCCTTTCACTGGGATTCCTCATGTGGTTTTTCTTTCAGGGTTGAAAGGAGTTTGGAATAGGTGACCTTGTGTGGGGAAAGATTAAGGGCTTCTCCTGGTGGCCTGCCATAGTGGTTTCCTGGAGGGCTACCTTTAAGCACCAGGCCATGCCTGGCATGAGATGGGTACAGTGGTTTGGTGATAGCAAGTTCTCCGAGGTAAGTCCAGTGGAAGGCTCAGAGACCTGATGGGTACAGTGGTTTGGTGATAGCAAGTTCTCCGAGGTAAGTCCAGTGGAAGGCTCAGAGACCTGAGGCCTGGCTTTTCTTCCTGAGACTGTTTTGAGATTAGCTTTGACACTGGGTCTGAAAGGAAAGACATTCTTCCTGGGTTACTCACCTTAAATAGACACTTGATAGCTTGTGGACCGAGACAAGTCTATCTCAAAAAGGACAAAGAAGCTGGTGTGGTGGCATATATCTTTGATCCCCGCACTTGCGAGGCAGAGGCAGGTGGATCTCTGTGAGTTTGAGGCCAGTGTAGTTTACATAGCGAGTTCCAGGCCAGCTGGGGCTACAGGGAGACCCTGACTCAAAAAGACCGAGAGAAAAAAAAAAAAAAAAAAAAAAGACAAAGAGTTGGAAAGTTGCAGATTCATTCAGAGTCCCATGGATTTGAGGTATAGGTTTTTTTGTTTTATTTTGTTTTGTTTTTGTGTCTGCTTCTCTGGGGCAGATTCATCAGTATGGATTCTGAGGGCTCAGGACCATTCAGGGACACACCCATGTGTTCAGAAAGAGGTTTGGGAGAGACAGGAAGGATTGGCCCTGATTCTTAGTGTTCTTTAATGCTGCAAAGGGAAGGGCCAGGAGGCTGGCCTTGGCCTGGTCTGGAGTTGAAGCAGGCTTTTCCAGCAAGCCATTCTATCAATCCCCATTTGGTGTCTACACCTGTTGAACATATGTTTTGAGATCTCCAAATATTTTTATTTAAATGGTGCAGATGGATTTCCTGTGATCCTTAGAAATATTAGTCAGTGTTAGACCAATTCATGACACCAGAGATAGGTTGAGGTTCCTGAGGTACAGGATACAGAATAGAAACAAAAGGAAATGGGCTATTAAGAACATTGTCAGTAACCAGGTGTGGTGGTGCATGCCTTTAATCCCAGCATTTGGGAGGCAGAGGCAGGTGGATCTCTGTGAGTTCAAGGCCAACCTGGTCTACATAGCGCCTTCCAAAAAAAAGATCATTGTTAAGGGACTGGAGAGTGGCTCAGCAGTTAAGAGCACTGGTTTCTTGTAGAAGACCTGGCTTCAAAATCCCAGCATCCACATGGTGGCTAGCAACCGTCCGTAACTCCAGTTCCAGGGGATCCAACGCCCTCTTCTGTCCTCCATGGGCTTTGCACGACACAGGTGCACTTGCATACATGCAGGCAATACAGGCATACACATAAAATTAAAGCCAAAAAAAAAACCATTGTTAAGGTTCAGCCTCAATTTGAGGTTCTGTTTTTCTTATGAATTGAGTTCACTTAGGGCCATTTCCACAAATACTCAAATTTCCTAAGGACAAGAACAATAGGACAAGTTCATCTGGTAGGAGAGGCTGCATGCAGTCATGCTGTCTGACCAGCAGAGGGAGCAGGAGGACTTGTGTCCTGGGACTAGACTGGCCTGGGAAGCATCACCCTCCAGGATCTGCCCAAGACTTCCATGACATAGAATGGGAATGTTTGCCTTTGTGTTAATCCAAGGAGACGTGGCATGCGCTTATTCAGACAGGGTCAGACGGCAGTAAGGTGCTGTATGGGGCTGGTAGGATTATGGGATGGGATTAGTATGCTATGGCTTTGGCCAAGGACTGAGACCTGCCCAGAGCCTACCTAGCTAGCTCTTGCTGTGTTCTGCTCATTGGCTAGAGCAGTTGCCAGTTTCTTGTCACCCATGGTGGCCCTGCCACAGAGGTGAGGCTCCCAGATGAGCTGAGCATAAGAGCAAGGATTGTAGACTGGGGCATCCCATGTGTCCAGTTGTGATCAGCCACCTGGGACACTCACTCATCTTCCCACTCATGAGGAATCCCAGCTAGAATTCATTTCTGCCTTGGCTGGGTACTTGCGAGTAATAGGAGCTCATGCTGTGCCCAGCACATTCTCTAAACCTATACATGGTGTGACCACTGAATGCCAGTCCAAAGACTAAACACTCATCCTCATGCTCAGGAAGGGCAGAGAACATATGTACAACCCCATGTACAAAATACATGAAGAATACATTCAAGGTGAATTTCAGGACCAAGCCTCATGTCTATGCCATTGATGTTGACTCTGTTCATGCATGCATGCCCATATACACCATGTGAACACACACAGACTCTATCAATTGTACCATTCAGATCAGCCAAGTCTCCCACATTTGAGTGTAATGTGTTCTTGTTTCTGTCTATAGGATATGTGTTATGTGCTGTTTCTTCTTTTTCCTTCCCCCCCTTTTTGGTGTTGGCTCTATGACCTGTCCCAGGAATGGGCTCTGGGTGAACATGTACATATGTACTCAGAGTACGCATGTTCACCCAAAAGTGGGTAGATGCTGACAGTGTCTTTCTCTCCTAAGTCTCTGTAGACAAACTGATGGACTTGGGGCTGTTCAGCCAGCACTTTAACTTGACCACCTTCAATAAACTAGTTTCTTACAGGAAGGCCATGTACCACATTCTGGAGGTAATATGGGTGTGACAGCTAACTAGGACTTGACCCTAAGAGCAGGGAGGAAGAAAGATACCTAATGAATGTTAATTCATGCCACTGTGTTGCCAAGGTTAGCTTGGAGGAGATTGGGTACCATGTGTGAACATGGACGCCAAAGGCTGGGGGTCTGCCAGGCCTGCCTGGCCTGCTCAGGACAGGGATTGAGATGTTCCAAGGAGGTCACTAGTCAGTTGCTAATACTGCCAGCTGGGTCAGGAAAGATGATTACTGGCCTTTGGGGTGTTTTGTATGGAGAATGATCTGCAATAGCTCTACTTTCAGTTTTAAGTAAGTGACTTTATTATGTAGAAAACAAAAGTAAGATCATCAAATCACGTGCTTACAGCACCCAGCAGAAGTGATGGGGAAATACTTGCTAAAACCATCATGCTGCAGTTCCTGGCTGAGAGATTCCCAGG